ATACATATACATATACATATACATATACATATACATATACATATACACATATCACACACAGAATTTGAAAACAAGGTGGCATGGCACCTGAGGAATGACAGCCAAGGTTGTTTCTTGTCCTCCAAACACATATGAACACCAATATATATATATACATAAAACAAAATAAATGGGTAGCTTCTGCCTTACTGAGTATTTGGAAAATACTAGAAAAAATTCTGAGACTGGGGTATAGCTCAGTGGTAGAACATCAAGCATGCATGAAATGGAGCTTTGGGTTCAGTCCCCAGCACTAACACACACACACACACACACACACACACACACACACACACACACACACCCTGTTCTATATGCATCTGCAATACGGATTCTTTTGTTTCCAGCTCAAATTGCTAGAAAAGCTAACGAGTTTTGATAGGGCTCTTTAAAAAGTGAATGCAGAGTGAATAAAATTACAGCTTTGTGTCTTGTCTGCCGTTTTTGAAGATTCTGCTGGTTAGTTTCTATTCACCCTTACAGATGAAAGAACATTGGCTGGGTCCGGAGACCCGCTCGATGCTTGTTCATTCTTGAGGGATGTCAACATGGCCCTTCAGAGCAATGACGCTGACCCCCCGCCTTCTCGTGTTTCCTTCCCAGCTGCCTTGTCTCAGCTCCTATGACAGCTACTGCAGCAATCAAGTCGCTGCCAAAGCCCTGCTGGACCACAAAAAGCAAGACCACAGGGTGCAGGATTTCCTTCAGCGCTGCTTAGAATCCCCCTTCAGCCGCAAACTCGATCTCTGGAATTTCCTTGATATTCCCAGGAGCCGTCTAGTGAAATATCCTCTGCTCCTTCGAGAAATCTTGAGGCACACGCCAAATGATAATCCAGATCAGCAGCACTTGGAAGAAGCTGTGAGTTTGCCTGTTTCTTTTTCTCTTCTCTTCCATAATGACTACACTTGCGTCAGCAGGTACTGTATACATGGGGCCCAGCGGTCTTGTTTCAGGCCTGGTACAACCATCAGCCTTTTTTGTTCTGGTCACTTTTCCTTACCTGTCACAGATTCCTAACCCGTAAAGCAAAATGTTTACAGAAAATAGCTTAAGATCCATTTGTGTGTGTGTGTGTGTGTGTGTGTGTGTGTGTGTGTGTGTATACATAAATTATATAAACAAATCTGGTAACAGTATATTAAGCTTAGCATTAAGCTTAGCTGGATACTGTGGTGCGCAGTAAACAGGTGGATCTCTGTGAGATTGAGGCTAGCCTGGTCTATAGTGTAAGTTCCAGGTCAGCCAGGGCTACATAGTATGAGACTCTGCCTCAAAAAAAAAGTATGTTAAAAGTTTTATTTTTTCCCTCTTTTTCCTCAGTGACCATATAGCTCCCAGCGTTGAGCGTTGAGCACTATTGCAGAAGTGTCTGGGCAGCCTGGGAGGCGGCTTCAAGCCTGTGGCTGTGGGTGGTTGGCCTACTCCCCTTTTTTTTTACTGTTCTTCTTTGTTTCCATAGATAAACATCATTCAGGGAATTGTGGCAGAAATCAACACCAAGACTGGGGAATCGGAATGTCGTTATTACAAAGAGCGGCTGCTTTACTTGGAAGAAGGCCAGAAAGATTCCCTGATTGACAGCTCGAGGGTCCTGTGTTGTCATGGAGAACTGAAAAATAACCGGGGTGTGGTAAGTAGTTACTCTGCTCAGGGCCTTTCCCTGATACTTCCCTGTCCCTAATCCCTATGTGTCTTTCTTTCTTTCTTTCTTTCTTTCTTTCTTTCTTTCTTTCTTTCTTTCCTTCCTTCCTTCCTTCCTTCCTTCCTTCCTTCCTTCCTTCCTTCCTTTTCTCTCTCTCTCTCTCTCTCTCTCTCTTGTGGTACTAGGGATTTAACGTAATTACTGCCACTAGACAAGCACCACTGAATATGTTCCTAGTCTTCTCTTTACTGTTTTTTTTTTTTTTAATTTTGAGACAAAGTCTCAATGAAGTTTCCCCAACTAGCTCCAAACTAGGTCAGTGAAGCCAGACTCCTGCCTCAGCCTCTCCAGCGGCTGAGATTATGAGTCTATAGCACTATATTCAGCTGTTGGTCCCACTTTGACTCCAGATAGAATAAGCCAGACCTAATGGCACAGATTCATAATCCCAGCTACTTGGGAGCTGAAGCAGGAAAAGTTCAAGGCCTGTCAGGGTTTCAGAGAAAAAGGATGAGATCAGCCTGATCCTCGTGATGGACTCCAGGCTGGCCAGAGCCACATAGTGAAAACCTGCCTCCAAAAAAGTATTTTAGAAGAGACTGATTAAGTTTTAATAATTTCAGAGACACTCTTTCAGCTTCTGTGAGCAGGTCTGGAAACAGCCCTTGTTGTTAGAACATAGGCCGCAAAGCTTGTTATCAGGGGCTACTGCGGACTCAGCCATATCGTTTGTAATGGGGCCACTGAGACCTGTTGAAGTTTCTGTACACGGACTTGCATCTGTGCGATGAGAGCTACCCACTGCCAGAAACTTGTTTTCTGCTTCTCATTCACTTCCAGAAAGCCATAGGGGACTTACATGATGTAACATTCGGTTCCTTGAAAGTTCTTTCTAAGAAGTCTTGAGTAAGAGGAATAGGCTTCCCAGGAAGTGGCCCTGCTCTCTTCTCATACACCAGTCAGGGCTGCAGGCCTCTCTGGTTGGATGTACCTGTGGCAGAAAGATGAACCCTACAGGCAGTAGAGGTTTGAGAATAAAGACAGCAGTTGGGGAGAGGGGAGTTGTTGGGTTTGGCTCTTGCTGGAGGTGTGGACAGTATTAACAAAGTCTTATGTCGGGGAAAAATGGTGTACCAGTGGGAGCAAAAGGTAGCTGAGACCAGTAAGAGAAGTCCTCAGTGAAAACTTGAAAACGAGGGACATTTTTAAAACGTTGCCCAGACAAGCCCAGTTCAAACTGCTGGCCTCAACTAGAAGACTGATGGGTGTAGAAACAGAAGTCCATGGTCATTTTAAGTTTTGAATACAGTGACCCACCCCTCTCTCTCCGTACCCTGAAAGAATAGTTTTAACACGTTTCTCACTACCACTATCCCAAGTTAAAGGGGAGAGCCTTTAACTTGGTTATTTTGTGCTTTACCATTTTATGATCTTTGAATTTTGTGGGGTTTTTTGGGGTTTTTTTTGTTTTTTTTTTTACTTTAGTGTTTGTCTATTTTGAAACAGAGTCTTCCTCAGGCAGCCCAAATTAAACTCAAACTCACTGTATTATAAGCCAGGCTAGTCTTGAATTTGCAATATCTTACCTCCTCTTCCCATTTAGGAGGATTGCTAATCTTTTAAGATATCCATTCTCACCACCCGAGATCCGGTAGAGTTCTGCCTCTGCACGTGTGTGGAATGTGTATGCTGGGAGACCTCCAGATTTCTGTTCTCTCCATAGGAAACCACTGGAAGTTTTGAATGTTCTTTCTCTGCTCAAATCGAGATTCTCATCTTGAGTTTCTACCCCTCCCCTGCTAGTGGCCTCATTTGAGAGTCCTGGATAGGCTTCTTTTCCACCAGAAAGCCAGTACCCAGCATCAGCGCTACAACCATTCTACCTTAACTCCTGAACATCTCCAGACTCTGAGAAGGATCTGGTTCTCAGAGATGAACACCATAGATATGCCCCAGCTCCACACAGGAAGCTTGCTCTCATTGTGTGGTTTGAGACATGCCTTCATATTCTGAGATTTCCTTTTTGCCCATAACTTGTGTCAGTGATCCACCCTATAGGCCCAAGCTCTCCAGAGAACCCAGGTGCTGCTGAGCCTACAGAGAGAGGCATGAGAGTCACCTTTCTCTGTGTCAGCACTGTACCCAGGGTCCTCTCTGATGGGCAGGGTCCTAGGTAGCATTGCTGGCAAAAGTTGTTGATCATATTTCTATTGGTTTGGGAAGCCAGAGTTATATTTAGGCTTAGATATACAGTCTCATTCTTTGTAGACTATTGTTAACTTGATCTCTTAGAATTGTATGGAAGCCAGGAGAGTATTAATTCCTTTTCACTAACGTGTTCATTCTACTCCCTTATTTTTCTCTTAGTCAAGCTGAATGTGTGCGAACAGATTGTGAACTATAATATAAGTAGGGTTATGGCTACCGTAAACTATAGAAAGGCTCTCTTCAGTGGATCCCCAAGGAGTAACCTAAATTAAGGCAGTAGATATATGTATCTGGAAATCCGTCAAATCTGCCAGCTTCTATTTTCCTAGAAATAGATCTGAGCATGTGCTTGTATCCATTGTGAACCCAGGTCCTAGATACCTCTTGCTACAGAGGTCCATAAACCCACTGCTTACTAGATTGCTGCTCAGGACAATCCTGTGGGCTCTTCTTTCAGAAACTACATGTTTTCCTATTCCAAGAAGTGCTTGTGATCACTCGAGCTGTCACTCACAACGAGCAACTCTGCTACCAGTTGTACCGGCAGCCCATTCCCGTGAAGGACCTCATGCTGGAAGATCTGCAGGACGGAGAAGTTCGTCTGGGCGGCTCCCTGCGCGGGGCCTTCAGCAACAATGAGAGAAGTAAGTGTGGGCAGCAGGCCACAGGGACAGGTGGAACCGTTTGATCATAGACATGTGGAAGGAGAGGCTGGCTGGGGAAAAGAGAGCGGCCCCAACAGTGAAGCCTGTTCCAATGCTGGCTCTTCACTTACCAATATACACCAAGTTCAAGCCTCAGTTTCCACTTGTCTGCTTTCCTTTTGTGATTGCTTTGAGCAGTAAATATCATGCAGTACCTGAGCCCATTCGCATGCAACTGCGGGTGCTCCCTGGCTCTCTCTTACTACTACATGAAAGCACGCTTAAGACCGTACAGTCTCTGTGTGGGTACTAGTTGTGTAGTATAAAGTTTTGTAGTTGTTCTGATGTAGTTGCTGAAGAGACTTAAGAATCAATTAGAGTTCAGCTGCCATGGCTCAACATGGGATTGTGAGTCTGAGGCCAACCTGGGCCTCATAGTGGAAACCTACCTCAAAAGCAAACAAAAGAAAAATGAAGGGTGAGCTGGGGTGCGTGTTTACCCACAGCACTACTCAATGGGCATCTCTAACCCAAGACTTAACTAAATAATGGAAATAAGCATGAGAAGCCATGATAGCAGTCTCTATCAGAGATTGTTATGTAGTGAGCACTGGTTTAGGTACTAAGGATAAGCCAAACATTACAGATCTTGTTTCTATGGAGCATATAGTATATGCTAGACAAACAGTCCCAGTGCTGGTTAGAAAACTAAAGCTCACTGGGCGTGGTGGCATACACCTTTAAGCCCAGCACTCAGGGAGGCAGAAGTAGACAGATCTCTGTGAGTTTAAGGCCAGCCTGGTCTACAAAGCAAGTTAAGGATAGCTAGAGATACACGGAGAAACCCTGTCTCAAAAAGCAAAACAAAAAACTAAAGTTCAATCTGGTGCATGCCTAGCATCTTTTTCCCAGCACTTTGGAGGCAGAGGCGGGTGGATCTCTGTGACTTTGAGGGTAGATTGTGCTACATAGTGAGTTCAAGGCTAGCCAAAGCTTCGCAGTGAGACCCTGTCTCCAAACCACAGCAAACAGTAACAATGGCAATCCTAAAGGAACAGACTGACAGGCTTATTTCTAAGATAGGCTCTGCATTTTCATTACGGTGTAATTGCATGACTTCTCCTCTTCAGTCTCCTCCCCCTAAGGCCTCCCCTGTCCTCTCCAAGGCCTTCTCATATTCATGCAGGTGTAATAGTCCCTTCGGGAACACTGAGCTAGGCCCGTGTCACTCCAGTCAATTAAGAATGGCATCAGGGTGGAACTGGCTGAGTCTTGCGTCAGTAAGACATTCTGTAATAATGTCTGCTGCTGGCCCTGGAGCTTAGTGCCACTATGTCTGGTTTTGTTAGCCTTGGCAAATAAATGCCTACCCATTGACTTTCTTCTTGTGTTCTTCATTTCCAGTTAGAAACTTCTTCAGAGTCAGTTTCAAAACTGGATCCCAAAGTCAGAGCCACTCGCTACAAGCCAATGACTCCTTCAACAAACAGCAGTGGCTCAACTGTATCCGCCAAGCCAAGGAAACAGTTCTGTCTGCTGCTGGGCAGGCTGGGTTGCTTGACTCTGAGGGACTGTTCCTGAGTCCTGGCACTGAGAACAGGGAGCCGCAGGGAGAAACAAAACTTGAGCAGATGGACCAATCGGACGGTGAGTCGGACTGCAGTATGGACACCAGTGAAGTCAGCGTTGACTGGGAGCGGATGGAGCAGACAGACTCCTCCTGTGTAAATGGCAGGCCAGAGGAAAGCGTCTGACCGAAGGCTCCGGCCATGCTAGCAGCAGGCCTCCGTCTCATCTGTACAGTATTCGCATTCCACACACGAACGAACAGTCTGGGGAGGCCCTGTGTAATCCTTCTGTGCGCATGTTGGCCTACTCTCTTATGTCTCTTCCCTGCCCCTAGCACTGCAACTGCCAGCCAGTCTGCGTCAGCTGGGATCTGCGGCAGCCCTTACCCCATTGCTGTTCTCACAAGTGTCCGGATGAGGGGAGAGGGATCAAACACATTACTCTGAGTTGCCCTACTTTCAAACCAGAAATGATCTCTAAACTACTGTTCTGCGCATACTGCATTGACAAGTCCTTTGTCCCATGCTTCTCCAGCTTTCCCCTAGCTCTTTCACATAGTAGCTGAAGTCCTGGAACTGAGAGAGCTTTGCAGAGAATTGAGATGGCATTCAGAGGGGAGCCAGGAAAGTCTAACCCTTGAAGTGAAGTCAGGTTCCGGTTCCGTGTTATTCAACCAGAAAACATGGAAATATCCCTGGGGGTTTCCAAGGTTTAATTTTTGCAAAGGAGGAAGCCTTGTTTGAAGTCTGTGGCTTCATCCAGTACAAGGTGAATGTAAGAAGACGTGAAACAGAAGGTGGCTTTAGAGAGGGCCAACAGAGGCCTGGTGGCACAGGCCTACAATTCCAGCACTTGGCTACATACTGAGTTTCTAAGTCAAACTGAGTTCCATAGTAAAAACAAAACAAAAAATGTACCTGTCAGTTCTGAATATTCAATGGAAGTGGGGGTGGCTGTGGGAGGTGCTTGTCATGGCCAGTGTCTTGCCATAAAAGAGCTATTTCTAAGGACCAGGGAGTGTCTGCCAGGATTATGAGACCCCATCTGCATCATGTTTCGTCTTTCTCAGCCACTTTCACTTTAGAGTGGCAATGAGGGGACACAGAGACTGACTTGCATCAGTGACTCTGTTTACAAACACGAGGGAAGGAGTTGGGAGTGAGAAATGTGTCATGGTCACCGAAGCCTCCTGTGGGAACCACACAAGTTGAAGTTGCTGCATGGGGTCTTGGGATTTCCTGATCTGCTTCTGGACCCTGAGTTTGTGTCCCTGGTTCCTGGGTTATAATCAGAATGAGCATTAATTCCTCTTAAGGCCAATTCCATTAGCTCTGATTGACGAGGATCAGGTAGCCAAACTGGAAAGTTCTGTGTTCCAGCCTTGATTTACAGAGCAAGGACTTGTAAAAAGACCTTGGGGGATTGGGTTGGGGGTTGGGTGGAGTTCACAAAATACACAGAACAGCTCCCTGCAAGTGTAAATACTTAGGGGGCTTGTACAGAATTATACCCACTCCAGCACTAGTAGTAATGATTCTAAATTATTGCCAAAAAGGTTTTGTTGTTGTTGTTGATTTCTGCATCTATCAAGTTTACAGAAAAGAAAGCAGCAAAATGCAAAGTCATCCCTTTATTGTGTGCATGTACCACGCGCACTGAAAGAGGCTGTGTGGCAGGGGCTGCCAATAGAAAAACAAGCTGTATTACATTATTATTTTCCAAAACAGATCAGTTCTACCCTGTAAAGCATATTTCTGTATTTATAGATTTGAACCATGGTGAATTTTTTTTCTATTGCAAGTTTATTTAAAACCACTTTGTTTCTCAAGTTGCTGATTTAGCGCATGAGCCTGCTGCAGACAGTGGAAAGCTGAGGCAGGACACTGGACGGTGGAGAAAAGCCTCAACTGTTTTCTCTAGAGCTGCTGGCCACTCTGGCCAATGGGTTGAGAAAAGGTCTCTGTCAGGGTCAGCCTGTTGGAAGAGAGTGGATGAGTGTTTTGGTGAAATGAGACTTTTGTATAATGGCCTTAAACTTTTCTGGAAGCATTTCAAATAAATTGCATTAAAAATATCCTCTTCCCCTATGTCCCGTGTGTGCTCAGCCATCATCAGATCTCAGGTAGGACACCTTGAAGAGGACCTTGAAGGGCAAAAGTTTCTTGATGCAATTCTGCCTCTGGTTCCCAAGAGCAACTTGCCATAGAATGCAGGCTGAAGTAAACGGTGTGGCTGATGGATTGACACTGTCTAGAACATGCATTTCCAAAGCCTGTTTTCTCAAGCATTCTGCTTGCAGTCACTTAATTCATCTGTGGAAATTTGTGTGTGTGAGAGAGAGAGACAAGTGCATAGGGACTAGCACAGCTAGTGGAAGTCTGAGGACAACTTGAAGTAGTTTTCTTCTTTCATTGTGCGGGTTTTGAGAATGGACCTCAGGTCATCAGGCTTGGCCGCGAGCACCTCTGCCCGTCTGAGGCATCCTGTTGCCCCCACCCCCATTTATTCATCTTCAGTAACGACCTTTATCCATGCCCTGCGCAAAGCTAGGTGGTAAGTATAGCTGTCACAGAAAAGAAGTGGTGACTCTCGCCACTGACACAGTGACTGGTGGGGAATTTGAAGCTAAGTTCAGCCCCTAGGAAGCAGAGGCAGGAGGATCACCGGAAGTCAAGGCCAGCCTAGGACTGCATAGTGAAACCATGTCTCAAAACAACAAGGAAAAGGCAGGACAGAAGGAATATTTCATTTTTAAATTGTCCTTAAATTTGTCTACTTGTTCACTAAAATAGTTTTATTTCTCAGAGTTTGTTTGTTTTAATGAAAAGGCTGAACAGGTGTAAACTATTAGCAACCAGTTCCAACAGCTTGTTAGTCCAGGAAAGCTAGTGGTTGGTTTTGTCTCTATAATATGCTTCCACCATGTTCTCTAACACAGGTAATTCCTAGATTCAGCACAACATTCACATAAATGGTAAATCCAATTTTTTTCTTAAGGGAAAACTCAAATTTCCTGCCTGTAATCCCAGCAGTCTAGAAACTGAAGCAAGAGAATTGCGACAGTTTGAAGGCCAGCCTGGACTGGATAGCACCAGGTCAGTCAGCTGCACACGTCAACATCACCCACATATACACACAAAAGAAGAAAAAGCAAAACAAACCCTTTTGTTCACTGTCTGCCTTTGTCCTGTCGTTCAGAGCCACTTCAGATACTCTCTCCATTTTGTGTTCTAAAGTGGCATTAGCTTGTTCCCCTAGGGGCTGTGTCTCTACCAGAATATTAGTAGTTTGTGCTCACATTTTAAGAGTTAGCACACATGACGGAAGGCTCGTGGCTTTTGGTCTGTTATGAAGATGTTGTGGTGCACACAGCTAAATGTAATCCTTGTAGTCAGACACAAATGAAACAGCCAGAGTTGGCAATTTTGTGCAAAATTAGAGCGTGGTTTTGGTTTCTGGGCTGTGGTCACTGCCACTGACTGCTTCAGTTTCCATTCCCAGAAGTCTCCAGCAGCTAAGAATGCAAACTTCTCACAACGACACTCTTGTTTCAGCGAAGGCTGCAAGGTTACAGGAAGCTATGGCCCATCTCAGTGAGCAGCTTTTTCAACTTTACATTCTCTTGCATCCAGTTTTTCCTTAATTTCCACAAAGCCAGAGTGCTACCTGGAAGACCTGGTTTTAGAGAATGGCTATGCAGAATTGGAAGAGGTTTCCCGACACCTAAAGCTATCTGTATGAATCTTAAAATCATCAGGATATAAAACTGTTCACGTGAACAATGAGAAAAGGTCACTATATCTGTCAAGTCTATGTAGGCAAACAGTTTTGAAAACAGCACAGCTCATTGCATCACGCCTTCGGAAATGGTTCTCCCAGTGAGCAACACAGGCCTACCTAGACAGCAGTTTATCAGTTAACTAAGAGGAAGGAGTGTCCTTTGTTGCTGTGACAAATACCATGGCCAAAAGCTGTGTGTGTGTGTGTGCTGGGCACAGTCCATCACTGAAGGAAGTCAAGGCAGGAACTGAAACTGAAACCGTGGAGAAATGCTGTTCACTGGCTCACTCACTGACTCAGAGTCAGACAGCTTGCTTATACAGCTGAAACCTATCTGCCAAGGGGAATGGTGCCACCTGAGGTGGGCTGGGTCTTTCCCACATCAATTGTCAGTGAAGACAATCTAGCATAGAGGTGGCCACAAGCCAATCTGACCAAAGCTGTTCTTCAACTAAGGTTCCCTCTTTCCAGGTGATTCTACATTGTAAAGTTGCTGCATGGGACCCTGTCTCTCTCTCTCTCTCTCTCTCACACACACACACACACACACACACACACACACACACACACACACAC